AATCTATCGATGACTTCTATGAGCTCCAGGATAGTCTTTCTGCTGTGGAGAGATGGTGTGTCGAGAACAGTATGTCTCGGAACACTTCAAAATGCCTCATCATGACTTTTCACAGGACCTTGGCTCCTGTATTCTACAACTAAAGAATGGGTGCAATCTCGACAGAGTCTTAGAGATTAAGGACTTGGGTGTTATTTGCACCGCTTCATTGAGTCCAGAAAAGCACGTAGTGTATGTAAGTGTAAAGGCAAATAATAACTTGGGTCTGATAACCCGATATTCACAACACTTTTGTCTCCCTTGGCACTGAAAAGCCTCTGTTCTCACCTCGTCATATCCCATTTAGAATACTGCTCAGAAGTGTGGACCCCATACCAACTCTATCTTCAAGAAAGACTCCAGTCAATACGGGTCCGGTTTATCAGCCTGGTAGATCTTCGCCTTGGATACCACTACGCAGATGTTCCAGTGAGCGCCTTGGCAGCTGTCTTGGATCTTCGTACGCTGGTGTCTAGAAGGAAAATCATTTATCTGATGTTCCTGCATTGACTGGTCAACGGAGAGATACTCTGCCCGGAGTTGCTTGAGCGGATTGGTTTCCATGTCCCAGCGGGTTTCAGATTGAGGGAGCTATTTGCTAGGTGTTTATGAACAGCTTTATGAACGCTTTATGAACAGCACAGTGCCATCGCTCTGGGAAACTCTCTGCCACCTGAAATTGATCTCTTTAACTGCAGCGCCACATGCTTCAAAATATTGATCAGCTCGCTTCCACTGGATTAATTAAGACCTGTCTACTCCAAGACTATACTCTCTCAATCAATTTTTAAATGCTTGTTATGTTCTTTCTTGTTCTCGTTGCTCTTTATTGTTCTCTTTATTCTCATTGTTACTCCATTGTTATTATTTTCGTTATGATTGTTATTGTTATTACTAGTAGCACTTTTTTTTGTTATTTAGTCATCATTGAAGTTACAAAAGTTGTATTATGATTCTGTTATATAATGGTTTGTCCGTTAAATAAATAAATAAATAAATAATGTCTTTCATGAACAGTGAAAGTTACAGTGAAAGGTAGCCAATGGTAGTGTTATGAAGGGACGTTTTATGGCACTAAGTAATTCATAACAATTACTTTACTCTTTTCAGGAAGCATTTCTTTCAAGGTCGACAATGAGAATGAGAGAGAGCTGGCGTTAGATGGAGGGCATCTCTGTGGGGCTGACGCTGCTGATGCAAACTGTTCCATCTGGAGTAATGGATCAACCATCGCACCTTTCGATAAAGACGTAAATATCTCAGTAAAATGCATAACCTACATAAGTATACAGTACCACAATATATTGCATAAATAATTTTCGATATTGTGCTAATATTTGGCAATTTACTCTTTTCTATACTGTTTCATTTCATTTCATTTCATTTATTTCAACGGTAAACACCATTTATACAATAATAATAAATACATTTATGATACAGGCAATAAATCAGTCTTATGAGTAACAATAATAACAAGCAGAATAGGACTAGAAATTGATAACAAAAAGGATATAACAAACAAGAAATCACAATGTGTAACAAGAAAGGAGATTAAGAATAGAGAGGCAGTGTAAAACAGAGATGATAAAAATGGGAAATAACAACCAACAATAAATAGAAAACAACAACAAAAATTAATAACAGTGAATAAAAATATGAAACATCGATAACCAGCCTAATAGCTTATAGCTTGTTTTTAGTTAGTAATATAAGAGTTTGAATAGTGTTTAATGAATCCTCCTCACTTAAAAATTACTGTGAAATATAGGAAGTACTAGCAGAGTACTCGTCCTTCGTCCGGGGCCGGCCTATAAGTATAAAATGCTTATTGCAGTTATACTCAAACATTGAGTTAGCAATGGGAGAGGACACCGTTTGATAAAATTTTCTTCTTTAAATTTAGTTTATACTTATAAGTATTACACATCTACCATAGCCATGATGTTCTACCACTTCACCTAAACAATAAAGAAAAATAAATTATTGAAAATTCACAAATAATCACAAATTATTCTTAACATTAAAACATAAACATAACTGTAAACAATCCTACTTTGACAGTTCTCATTACGTATTACAGTTTTTTGATGATGCTTAGTTCAAATTAGCTATTTACATAAATGCCAAAAAAATTATAGTGCTGCACCCTGTTGGTAAATCTTATAACATTTTAATGCTTTTGCATATCATAGAACCAAATTTTTTAGTTGAAACAGCTGGCTAAATTCTTTAATTCCCTTTAAATATGAACGTCCTACGTACGGGAATCGAGTAGTCTATTAAAACTGTATATGATTCAGAACAGCTAGTTTACAACTTGGTGGCCGATTCACATACACTGCCTATATGTTAATCGGAAATGTGAGCTATCATAATTCCAAATTTCAGCCTAATCCGTCCAGTAGTTAGTGCGTGATTGAACTTTAAACAAACAAACAAACACACAAACTTTCACATTGTAAATGAAAACAAAAATAAAAAGGTAAAGCTTTGATTGGGAATTTTTTTATTTTAAAACAAATATTCCTCTTGTTGAATTTGTACTTCATGTTTGCTTGCACTATTTGCATTCAAGTATAAAGTAGGCTCTTCAAATTTGTTTATAGTTATGTATTTAAGGCTGCTACAAGTTAGTGTTTGTATAGCAACTTTGTGTTTAACTGCGTTGCAGCAATAATAACCACCAATGGTAGGTGTACACTGTACAGGTTCAGGTTACTGTTACAGTTTTACATATCACTTGGACTATCAGCTGGAAGTGACCACCAATGGTAGGTGTACACTGTACAGGTTCAGGTTACTGTTACAGTTTTACATATCACTTGGACTATCAGCTGGAAGTGACCACCAATGGTAGGTGTACACTGTACAGGTTCAGGTTACTGTTACAGTTTTACATATCACTTGGACTATCAGCTGGAAGTGACCACCAATGGTAGGTGTACACTGTACAGGTTCAGGTTACTGTTACAGTTTTACATATCACTTGGACTATCAGCTGGAAGTGACCACCAATGGTAGGTGTACACCGTACAGGTTCAGGTTACTGTTACAGTTTTACATATCACTTGGACTATCAGCTGGAAGTGACCACCAATGGTAGGTGTACACTGTACAGGTTCAGCTTACTGTTACAGTTTTACATATCACTTGGACTTGAACTATCAGCTGGAAGTGACCACCAATGGTAGGTGTACACTGTACAGGTTCAGGTTACTGTTACAGTTTTACATATCACTTGGACTATCAGCTGGAAGTGACCACCAATGGTAGGTGTACACTGTACAGGTTCAGGTTACTGTTACAGTTTTACATATCACTTGGACTATCAGCTGGAAGTGACCACCAATGGTAGGTGTACACTGTACAGGTTCAGCTTACTGTTACAGTTTTACATATCACTTGGACTTGAACTATCAGCTGGAAGTGACCACCAATGGTAGGTGTACACTGTACAGGTTCAGGTTACTGTTACAGTTTTACATATCACTTGGACTATCAGCTGGAAGTGACCACCAATGGTAGGTGTACACTGTACAGGTTCAGGTTACTGTTACAGTTTTACATATCACTTGGACTATCAGCTGGAAGTGACCACCAATGGTAGGTGTACACTGTACAGGTTCAGGTTACTGTTACAGTTTTACATATCACTTGGACTATCAGCTGGAAGTGACCACCAATGGTAGGTGTACACTGTACAGGTTCAGGTTACTGTTACAGTTTTACATATCACTTGGACTACCAGCTGGAAGTGACCACCAATGGTAGGTGTACACTGTACAGGTTTACGTTACTGTTACAGTTTTACATATCACTTGGACTATCAGCTGGAAGTGAACGGGATTTTGCGGATGATTGCGTCAATCGAGGACAGCCCAAGCCTTGGAGGAATTTGGATTTCAAGGTAATATTTTAACATTGTAACGTCTACACGTCATTTTCAGCTTTTTTTACTGACTTTAATTTTTATACTGAAGTATTTTTGGTACAAATATTCAATTTCAAAAGCTTAATCCCAACGAGCATTAATACATGCACGGGTTAAAAGTAGAAGTACCAGCTGTTAATTCGTGATATTGAAATGTCTACTTACCAACGAAATCTAAACCAATAACAAGACTCCTCGATATATACTGTATGTTTCAACTACAGATTAATAGCAAATGTATTGTCCTCAATGTTGTCAATGCTTACCAATAAGAATAAAATGCAATGCATTTGATTACCCGTATATTCATAGTTTACCTACATCAGGTAATATTTTCTTATTTTTTACAATGAATTAGTCTAAATTTGAAATGTATGTAAATAGCTCTGGTTTGCATTTACCTAATATCTTTCCTTAAATACCACTGGTTGTTCCAAAAACTAATCGTACGAAAACCAAATATGTTGTTTGTTTAGGCCAAGAGCGATTTCTGGGACGACCGTGACAACTGGCGACTGACGTGGTCGGAGGCTGGGTCAGCTCTGTACATAGATCATATCCGGGTTACTGCACTCTGACGTGATGGAGTTTCTACTCATTATATGGGAAATTGTTTGACGATATTACTAAAGACCGTTATTATTTACAGCTTCAGTGTATTTCTTTATGTATGTACCCTAGTTTGAATTATGTGTATTTAGAATGTTACCTTCTATTATTTATTTATTCAATCAACAGTCAACACCATTTCATTAAATGATCACATAAAAATAGTATAACATAATGAAATTGGATAACCAAGATACATTGATAACTATAACAATAATAAGACAACAAGCAAAAAAAATCAACGCAAATCTAATAACTTGATAGACTAATCCTATCCTATAATCTAAAAAAAAGCAAACTACGAGCAAAAAATTTTTCTGTCCGAGGATTTAAGATTTTTTCTATAATATGGGGTATTTTTTCCACGAGAAATCGATTGGAGTTGATCACAAGCTATCCCATTTATCTGCTACAGCAGAATATGCAGAAATCCGCCTGTTAAACGAGGAAAACTGGCTGAGAACAGTTTCTATTATAAATGTGATAAGTAAATTTAATTTTGTCTTAACTGGCTAAACCCACAGAGACGTCAGTCGTGGGTTATGGTCAGGGTCAACATCAAGTTATCGCAGCAGCTGGTAGTCCAATCAACTGGTCGGTTTGAGAGCCAGTCTGTTGGAAGTCGGCAGATGTCACTACAGTTCTCTGCATGCTGGGGAAACCAATGTTCGCCAAGTAAATAACGCAAGGACAGTGTTACGAAGCTATAATCGGTCTTTTACCCGGCATGATAATTGACAAAGTCAATGATACTTACAGTTTTGATCCCTTTGAGTGACGTTTGTGACATCTAAAATCTGTGTAAATTGGCTGCTGTGTTAGTTATGACACGAGGAAACGTATGTGCTATTATTTCCTTGATTGTGTGTCTTTCATCAAGAACCCTAAGTGGTAAGTGATGAATTCATATATTTATAGTAAATGGCGACTTTTTTACACTATACAATCAGATTGTTGATAGTTAATGTTTTGTTGTGGCAACAGTTCTGATTTTCCTTTGCTAGTTATTTTCATTCTTCGAGCTTCTGCTTCTGGTTTGTAAGGGTTAAGTGGCAATATTTGATATACCCTTAAAATTCACAGTGTTGTTTGTAGTTGTGTTTAAAACCCATAATATTTGATCTGATGTTTTTTTTTTCTATCACGTCCTTTTACAACGCTGTGTTAATTATATAACCTAATAACGTTTCTGCTTATTCCACTCACCATTGAGACTATATTAATTCGAAAAAATTTTCTACATTACGTTTTAGACTTTAATTTAAATGTAGATAGCCAATCCTTCAGTTTAAACTTTTAATTACAGACCTATTGTAAGCCAAAAAAAAAACCCGTTTATAAATATGTATTTATAAATAAATAGGCTACTTTTTAAACATGAAACCTGATTGAGGTTAAAGTCAAGAAATTACATAAATTGTAATTTAGTTGTTTTATTTACAACAAAAATATACAAACACAACAAAAATTTAGAACAAAATTTTGCACAAGTAAAATGGTATTGCGTTATTCGTTTTGTTTTGTAAATATGTTTTGAACCCTATTAAACGGGTCCCTTCGTTGTCTATAATTCTACATACAGCTTATAATCCATTCACTATCTCTTTTTTAGGCTTCTAAAACATATGTCTTTTCAGTTCAAGGCGATTCAAACGGTCGTCCTCCTCAGTCTGAGAATGAAAGATTTGTCGTTCATGTTCGGAAAACTGTCAGGTAATAAACCATGCAATAAAGTTTTCTTGGTCATAATTAAAAAAAAATACTAGTGTACTTGTTGCTCGAATTCGAGCAATTGCAAAATATTACAGGCGTTATTTTAAAACGAATAACGGTCATAATTTACGATGACTTTAAAAGAGTCGATTCGATGATTACGAAAATATTCACGATGTACATAACAGTTCGATATAATCAACATTTCTTATAAATATTATCATTTTTCAAAAGCTGATCTTGTTTTTTAGTGTTTTCTACAAATTTTTCCCACTCATAGCCGCATTAGGTTGTTTAAAATAGAGATTATAAATTCTAAAAAAAAATACATTATCACCATTTCTTCTACTTGGTGGTTTTTAATGACTTTCCTATGTTACCAAAGTATGCAAATCGGATCATTCAATGATAGCTCAAGAAATGCAGCACAGTGTTTATTCTGGTTTCTTTTTATTAAATCAAATTGTCCAGGCTTTCTCGCTTTATTCCATTGTAATGTTTACGCCAACAAATATTCAAATAGTATTTAAATATTTAATTTCAACCAAGTGAGGAAATGTTTGTAGCATAAGTTTCCTTAAATAGCAACTAAAATACTGGTGTACGAACCCTGACCAGTTACAGAACAGCCACTACTCCCTCAACGGACACAAATGCCGTACTGGAGATACAACCTTAGCTTGTCAGATGATACCTGGAGCCTACGTTCCTACAGACTGAGTCATCTACTGTAACTGTATGTACTGACTGTTGTGTATATCAGGCAGGTACAAGGAGGCTGGTGTACGATCCCTGACCAGTTACAGAACGGACGTTACTCGCCCAGCAGTAAGAGATGCCTTACTGGAGATACAACCCCGGCTTGTCAGATGATACCTGGAGCCTACGTTCCTACAGACTGAGTCATCTACTGTAACTGTATGTTCTGACTGTTGTGTATATCAGGCAAGTACAAGGAGGCTGGTGTACGATCCCTGACCAGATACAGAACGGCCGCTACTCCCCCAGCAGTAAGAGATGCCGTACTGGAGATACAACCCCGGCTTGTCAGATGATACCTGGAGCCTACGTTCCTACACACTGAGTCATATACTGTAACCGTATGTACTGACTGTTGTGTATATCAGGCAGGTACAAGGAGGCTGGTGTACGATCCCTGACCAGTTACAGAACGGCCGCTACTCCCCCAGCAGTAAGAGATGCCGTACTGGAGATACAACCCCGGCTTGTCAGATGATACCTGGAGCTTATGTCCCTACATACTGAGTCATCTACTGTAACCGTATGTACTGACTGTTGTGTATATCAGGCAAGTACAAGGAGGCTGGTGTACGATCCCTGACCAGTTACAGAACGGCCGCTACTCCCCCAACAGAAACAGATGCCATACTGGAGATACAACCCCGGCTTGTCAGATGATACCTGGAGCTTATGTCCCTACATACTGAGTCATCTACTGTAACCGTATGTACTGACTGTTGTGTATATCAGGCAAGTACAAGGAGGCTGGTGTACGATCCCTGACCAGTTACAGAACGGCCGCTACTCCCCCAGCAGTAAGAGATGCCGTACTGGAGATACAACCCCGGCTTGTCAGATGACACCTGGAGCCTACGTTCCTACACACTGAGTCATATACTGTAACCGTATGTACTGACTGTTGTGTATATCAGGCAAGTACAAGGAGGCTGGTGTACGATCCCTGACCAGTTACAGAACGGCCGCTACTCCCCCAGCAGTAAGAGATGCCGTACTGGAGATACAACCCCGGCTTGTCAGATGATACCTGGAGCCTACGTTCCTACATACTGAGTCATCTACTGTAACTGTATGTACTGACTGTTGTGTATATCAGGCAGGTACATGGAGGCTGGTGTATGATCCCTGAACAGTTACAGAACGGCCGCTACTCCCCCAACAGACACAAATGCCGTACTGGAGATACAACCCCGGCTTGTCAGATGATACCTGGAGCCTACGTTCCTACAGACTAAGTCATCTACTGTAACCGTATGTACTGACTGTTGTGTATATCAGGCAGGTACAAGGAGGCTGGTGTACGATCCCTGACCAATTACAGAACGGACGTTACTCCCCCAGCAGTAAGAGATGCCGTACTGGAGATACAACCCCGGCTTGTCAGATGATACCTGGAGCCTACGTTCCTCCAAACTGGGTAATCTACTTTAGCTGTAACCCTGGCTACAAGCTAAATACAACCAAGCTCGTTGCTGCTTGTTTTAATGGTAATTGGATCCCATGGCTGGCCCAATGTGAAAGTGAGTATATAAATATTATAAGTAAGCTTATTTATAATGTTATTTTTACAGTATCATATTCCTATATCCTTAGACATAAAGTTCATCATAAGTTTTCAATTTTATAGTAAAAAAATATATGTTCTGGAAACTTGGTTTGAAAGATTCAAGGGTAATGTTTCTATCACTTCCGAAGGCAAAACATTTCGTTGTTACGGACAGGTTACGGAATTAAAAAACGTGACGTCGGACCACTTATCCCTCTCTGAGTTTATTATGGCATAGAGTATGTTTAATCTATGATTGGGTTGAGGTGTCGCTTCAGCTTTGGGGCACTTTTCCCTAACAATCTTTACAGTTTAATTGTTTTTTTTATTATTTAAATATAAATTAAAATATCAAAAGAAACTACCAGATTTATAAACGTCATCTTCCCAGAAATTAAAACGAAATTTCTCTTATTTGCTGACGACATTAAGTTGTTCAACAAAGAAACCTCCACACATAACCAAGAAATGCTCCAACACTCGATTAAAATCAGCAAATAAATGGTGCATCTTAAATGCAATGGAGCTCAATGTCTCCATTAATTGTAGCTATGTTTCTCAGTCGCAGTAACTTAGTTCATGAGTATGACTATTGCATCGACAGCGTGGTCGATAAATTCAGGGATCTTGGTGTAATCACTGTCCCTTCACTCAGCCCACATGATCACCTGATCCATATATCCTCAAGAGTATCTTCTCTTCTGGGGTTTATTCAACGCTCTACAAGATCTCTAAAGTCTCCCTTGGCACTGGTCACGCTGTACAAATCTCGAACCCGACCAATCTTGGAGTACTGCTCTGTCATCTGGAATCCTTATCAAACTGGCCATATTGAAATCTCAAACAGGATTCAAACACGAATACTCAAACTACTGGGTCTAAAACTCGGGTTTCCTTTCATCGACGTTCCTGTAGCAGCTCTCGAGGTGCAGTTCGGCCTTCAACCGCTTCCCCTAAGACGACAAGTCAACGACATTGTCTTCCTTCTCAAACTGGCAAATGGGATCATTGACTTCCCCGAACTCATGAACGAAGTGGACTTAAACGCTCCCAGGTGAACCCGATCCAGAGCTGTCTTCAAAAGGAGATATCAGCCCACGAATTATACCCTTAACCACGGAATCTCCAGACTGCTGAGACTTAGCAAAGACGTCTGCCCACACCTAGACTTCGTTGGGCCATCACCAGCATCTTTCAGACGTGATGTCCAGAGGCTGCTCTTCTGACACCTCTCCGCTCTCTATCAGTGTTGGTTGTTTGGTGGTGCCTCTAAAGGGCCACACGCTAGATATAAGTTCAATCTATAAGACGCCGGGGAGTGCTGGTTCGTATCCCGTGGTGGGATTTGTGGTCTTGTAGTTCCTTGGTGGTGCCTTTTAAGGACCACACGCTCAACAGTGTGAATTGCTGAATTGTCATTGTTGTTGGCATTCTACCAACAAGATTTTTCCCCCAGAGCCATACTTTTGTTTGCTTTATATGTTACGTTAGCTTTTGTCATATTTTATTAGGTTGCTACCTACTGTCATAGTTTATTATTGTTGTGTCTAGTAAATTTATTGCTGTAAATTATTTACAATGTTGTCATTTTTTATACATATTTACACTGATTGTTATTGTTGATAATTATTTACACAGGTAGTTGTTATTGTTATTCATTTATTCACAGTGTTGAAACTGTTGTAATTTCGCCAGAACTGTTCACCACCTTCCACCACTACAATTTCTTACGTATGCATATAATGTTTTCTTATGTATTTTGTATCTTGTTGCATGTATGTCTTATCACATGTATTATTTTGTAAAATGGCGAATGCCGTTGAAATGAATAAATAAAAAATAAAGAAAGAAACTAAACTGTATTTAATAAAGACAAAAATACAAGACATCATGAGTAAAGTAAGTAAATTAGTATATTTCGTACCTAGGGCCGAAAATTAGGTTTTGCCGGCTCGAGATAGTTTTTAAGTTCGAGACGAAGTCGAGAACTTAAATCGATCGAGAGCTGCAAAACCATTTCGGTCCGTGGTACGAACGCTATTTTTCACCACACTATACCCTATTACCACTATTCACGACTATAATATAGTCAACACAACTACAACTTTAAGGTTATGTGAAGAAATAATTTGAAGAATCAGCAAAAATAAAAATAAATAGTTGCTAGGCAACGGTGATAATAACACAATTCTATTGCAATGCTATGGATTTTGATTGTGTATTTAAAATGCATTCATGTTTTAAGTAAGTAATCGGACAGCTGATTTTGCGGCCCCGGCCTGTAAAAACCTGCTCGGTCCCCAAATTATGGACAGCTGGCATCGCCAGCAAAACGTAACTTTCGGCCACCAAATAACGTATGTAATACAGCCAAAAACATCATAGTGTGGTGAAAAAGTAAGTTTGAGCATTGTCTGGTTAAATCAATATACAATAATACTAGTAACTGTCAATATACAATAATACCGTCTGTCTGTGTTTATGTGTTTTTTATAAAAAATAAAATAATAACTCCTAAATAGTCTGAGATAGAGCGTTGAGATTTTGTAAAATTATATACCTTATTAAGACCTTTTTTTCTTATACCAAACAGTCATCATCGGTTTCAAAATGGTGGCCTTTTAAAACATGTGATGACAAATATCATGAAAACTTTAAAAAAAATCACAAGATACAAAAAAGTCAAAAGATTTTATGTACTTTTCATTGATACCTTATTTGTTAGTAATTTGATAAATAAATAACAGATAAATATACTCTTTCCATAATGTATGACCACTTTTCTCCATTTAAACATGTACTCCTTTTACATTGTGTAATAGTAGTTTACGCAACGATTGCGTTAAGTTAGTCTTTACGACACGAGTAGAAAATTTAAGGCACGAGCCTTGGCGAGTGCCTTAAAAACTTCTACGAGTGTCGTAAGACTATTAACGCGAGTTGCGTACACTACTTTACCTACGACCGTTTTTTAATTACTAACAATCTGGGTTTTAATTACTATCAATCACTACTCATAACTTCCTAGAGAGGTTATGTTTCCGTTTATTGTCAGTGCCAATGAAAGGAAAGTGATGCAACGACTTATTGTATAATCAGGTGATTTCCTGTAATTACATGTTTGTAAAACTTCGTTAAAAAAATACGTTACTTTTTCAGGCAATAGGCTCTGCTAGCAGCATTCTTACCATAAATAATGTATCAGGTACAATAAGGGAAATATTGCATATTTTTTTGGACAACTGAATAATATAGTGCTACAGTTAATCTACAGTTAGATCTCAGCATCGAATATGTGGTCCACAACGAGTTGGGTGAAAAACTGGTTAAGAGGGTTTCATAATAAACCAGAAGCACATTTATCATTTATAAATTTAACCTTATTTTGTTTCGTCCATTTAATGAATTGCTTATTGTTGATAATTATTTACACAGGTAGTTGTTATTGTTATTAACTTATTCACAGTGTTGTAACTGTTGTAATTTCACCAAAGCTGTTCACCACCACCACCACAGTTTCTTACGTATCCATATAATGTTTTCTTATGTATTTTGTATCTTGTTGCATGTATGTCTTATCACATGTATTATTTTGTAAAATGGCGATTGCCTTTGAAATGAATAAATAAAAAATAAAGAAAAAACTAAACTGTTTTTAATAAAGACAAAAATACAAGACATCATGAGTAAAGTAAGTAAATAAAAACATATGGTTAAATCCATATAGAGTATAGCGTTATTGCTTAGGTCAAGAAAAACACATTTCACCATAGGAACATTAGTCCAGTCAAGGAATGAGGTGTAGAGTGCATGAGCAGGTAACTGAGCGATTCCTTCAGAAACTTGTTCAGGGGGCTTAGGGTGTTAACATACCAAAAGTCCTGACTCCTAGGTGGTGAGCCGGGGTGGTGGGGGAAAGAGGGGGGGGGTAAAGGTACGCATTTTGGATTTTTTATTATATCTCGAAAACTATCAACTTTTTGTATACTATACTAAATTATAAAATTGAGAAGATAAAATTTTCTACAAGAAAAGTATATAGTTTTCAGATTACGAGTTATTACTTATCTTATTAAAATACTTCTCCCATAAGAAATACATTAGTATGCGAAATGGGGCGAATCCTATCCGCCCAAAGGAAATATAACTGATAGTCTAGAAATCTTTGTGAAATTTCCAGCAATTTGATACTTTAATCATAATTTTTTTTCCAAAAATTAAAGCGAGAGTGAGCGTTTAAGAACGGGATGATTTGAGGTTTTTTTATAATTCTTAATAAAAAACACCAAAACACCACATTTTTGTTACCTCGCCCTCGCCTTAAATTTGGACCAAACAAAACTTCAATATACTAAATTGTTTTAAAGGTCTTCAAAATAGCTTAGACAGAAGTTGGGAAATGTTATGTTTTAAAGTTAAAAAATTTTAAGTACAAATTTTGACCCCCATATGAACATTAAAATAAGATAATTTGTATTGCCTATCCCATTTTAAACTTTTGTGTGTGAAATTTAAAATTAAAGCCTTCACTTTAAGATTCTAGAGGACAAGCATACATTTGTCAATGATACTTCATATATTTTAATTAAATCTCACCAAATTTTCAGTCGGCAGAATCAAAATAATCATTATATTACCATTCAAGATGAATGCATGACAACTGATGGGATTGGTGTATTACATTCAGCATTTTAATGACTGTTCCATTAGATATTCGCTTATACACTGAGAGTCCAATGATCTATGACAGCTTGGCCAATGCCAAGAAATACTAAACACCTTTGACCAAAGCCCTTCGATTGTTAGACCCATTCTTCGAGATTAAAGTGTTTAATGTTCCTCGTAACTTAGTCGAAGGGATGTCTACAAAATTCTAAACTCTCATTAGTATCTGTAATTAGTTGTTGTGTAAACATAAAAGTGTTGTGGTTTGTCAGAGGAGTCAAGTTTGGAGCCGTGTGCCAAGTCAGGCACTATTGTCAACAGTAGCAACAATCGGTTAGACAGCTGCAGCGGCGATGTCGTGTTTGAGGACTCCTTCAACGGTCAACTCAGCGACATGTGGAGACATTCCGTCCTTATTGGTGACACTCCGGTGAGTAAAGGTTCTTGGCATGCTTTGCTTTTAGCGAATTTCCTTATAGGGAAGTAGCTATTACCGTAGGTGGCACGGTAAGACCTAGACCCGGGACCAATTTACTTTTTCATTTTGATGTCCCCAGAGGCCAAAAACACTATTCGTTCAAATTTTTATATATGTATATATATATATATATACTTATATATATATATAGACTTATATATATATATACGTCCGTGAACGCGATAACTTGAGTAATTTTTGTCCGATTTTGATGAAATTTGGTTTAAAGGTGTAAAGCGGGATAAACTTGAATGAGTTCGCGAACCAGCACGATCGGACCATGGAAACGGGGCTTTACGGGGGGTTTAATGGGGTAAAAATTGGTTTTTCTTACTTTTGACCCTCAAAACACAAAATTTCCCAATTTCTCTTTAGGCCTTTTTAAAGAGCTTAAAAAAACAAATAATTTAGTATATAAAAGTATTTTTGTTCGATTATTAGTAACGGAGAAAATTAAAAAAATTGTAAATTTAAAATTCCCATGTTATTCTTATGGAGAATATTGTCAAATGTTGTAGTTTGCTTGTTTATGAATATATTTTGATCAAACTTGGCAAATTTATTTATTTTGTACTAAGCTATCAATATTTTACTCAAAAACACACTTTATTAGTTTCCTTGTAGCAGCAAACCTAGGTACTCGTTAAACCTAATGTTATTAAAATATATTTAACTGAAAATCAATTCAGACAAATGGAAATTCGCTTAGTCGGCAGGTTTGCTGCGGCGGGGGTATTTGTTAATTCTTTTAGTTCTTCGCCTGTAGTCCCGAGAGAGTATGGAAATAATTGTACCTGTATCGGTATGAAGGATGTTTCAAAAATTTTCAATTAACAATCAAGCTTTCAGTAATCCAAAATCACTTGAACTATTTTATCAAGTGTCCTTATTTGATGGATATTGTTTGTTTAAGCCTTTAAGAAAACTGGTTGAAAGTTTGAATACTTAACGTTTGGTATCAACATTATATAATTTAAATGTGGAGTAAACGGACATGAACAAATTTATTACAAGTACAGAGGTTATCAACTATTTTTAAAAAGGAAAATTCATAAATTATATGTATCCTAGCACTATATGATCCTAGGCAAGAAAGGGTTTAATTTTGAGCAGTTATTATTGTAAATAGCATAACATTTGTTGTTGGGTTCCTCGGGCTATGTGTTGAGCTGTATTTGTTACGAGAAGAAAATATCTCAACTAATTTAACTTTCTTTATATTTGTGTCCTTAATCCTTGGCCGAAGATGTCGGATAGATTGAGTCAGAGCTTTAGATTGAAAATACTGTTTCAGTCGGGAAACGGACACTCTGCCAACGCTGTTTCCTACTGTTTGTTGTGGAGGGTATGTTTCTAGAAGGTACCTGACCTCAGCTTGTGCTTTACCCAATAAATCCGGGAATCCCCCAGAAATACTCGTTGGGTGGTAAACAAGGTCGTTAATAAAGGAAGCAGGTGCAGTAACATTGGGGCAAAACCTTCTGAGGAATGCATATTACTAGAACACTACTCCTAATCTTCAGGATTTGTAACTCGGGAAGTAACAACGGGTTGTGAATATCCGCTCCAAATAAAACTAGTTTTGTTTTGAAATTCAAGCATCAAAAATATACAAATGCCTACAAATAGAATTTGTTAGGTTTTATGCTTCTTTTATTACGATATTTAATAGTGCACATCCTGTATCACCCCTTCCCTACAACTTGTACTTCCCTCTTACCGACCTTTTAAAATAACCTATAGGTAATATTTCGGGGAGAATAGATTTTGCGGAGGGGTGGTTTCCCAGAATCACTCTTGGCAGACTGTCCTAAACTCGTTTCAGTCTTTACTCGTATTGAAATTAATGTGACATGACTTTTTCCACCAAGTGTCAATGTCTCTATTTATCATAACTTATTTACGTAATTTATTGATAGTCATTGAATGGAAGGGATGGAGTTTGATCTGAACTCAAGAAGCAATATGCAAACCCTTTAACCTAAAGTTTTTTTTTTTTTTTTTGACAGTGGTTGTTAGAGATGATTGCATGAAATAATACCTTGCCCTACACACATTTCTACTATACATTGTTCATCTTTCAGGACGATATGTTTAACGTTTTCCGAGATGACCCGCAAAACAGCTTCACCAGTGAAGGGAACCTAGTGATCAAGCCGACAGTGTTTAATGCTGGTTACGTCACGTCAGGGTTACTGCATCTACAAGGGTCAGTAAAATGATAAAGTCAGTTATAAAACAATAATCAATAGACGTAGCAACAAACGTTAAACATTGTACTTCATCGTTTGTAGTTATAGAATAAATATGTTAATTTGTATAACATAAAATAGTCTAAATGAATTAATAATGGATCATTTATTGACTGATAAAATTACAGGAACGAAGTCACTCGAATCCAATCTCTAATAATTTTCATCATCTTTTGTTGGTAAGCATCTCTTCAAGCAAGCCTTCTAAATTAAATCATAACAAATAACAAATCTTCTGGTTATATATATGAAACATAAATTTACTTTACAACATTAATAAATTTTTTAATCCATCTCTCTTCAAGTAAGTTATTCTTTAGGCTTAATATCCACCATGAAACCTCTTTACGATACACACTTATGCAAACCTTGGCTGTGTGTTGTAGCCAATAATTATTTAAAATTATACAAAATGGCCGTTCATTAGGGAAAATGGAAGACAAGTGTGCATAAGGGACGCCATTTTCTTTTGATTCTTGTCATTCGCCAATTAGGTCTGATGATGATTGGAGTGTCCAATCGAAATAGATAACCACTTACCTTATCCAATTATCTTTTATATGTATTTACCGTCTTGTGAGTGAACAGTATTAGTGTAAATATGTTATTAAAAGTGTTATTTGGCGTATTATTGTGCTTGCAAATAATGATTATAAAAGTATTTTTATATTCCAGCTGCACAGCTCCAGAAGGGTTAGAGATGTGGTTATGTAATCGGACAGGATTCCCCTTCAGCATTCTTCCTCCAGTTGCTTCAGCCAGAATACAGACCCGAGATTCCTTCAGCTTCCGCTACGGCGTGGTCGATATCAGAGCTAAGTTACCCAGGGGTGACTGGCTGGTGCCTGGTGGGTATAAGAATATACTACGAAAGTTTATAGAAGTTGTATATAACACAAAACTACATTTATTTATGTGCTGTATAGCCGTTTAGTATTTTGTTATATAGAAAACATGTAGATCAATCATCTTTATTTAAACACAGGTGCACTGGCACAGAAGCTGTGTAACTAGTGATGACAGTGAAAACATTTGGGGGTGTTTGAAAAATCCATAGGTTCCTATTTAGGTCTAGGAAGTTTTCGTTTTACCTACCTAACTTCTCCAACACTTATTAATACTAATTAATCACTATATGACCTTCTTGTATTACGTATCCACAATTGTAAACCGCTATATAAACTACCTCTACCCTAAATCCCTGCTCACAGAGTTATGGCTAGAACCAAAGGACCACGTCTACGGTCCAGGGTTGAGCTCAGGACGGATCCGGATAGCGTTGGTCAGAGGTAACTCTGAGCTGCAGTGTAAGGACGGCGACCTAGGACTCCAACGACTGGAGTCCGGTGTTCTCCTGGGTCCAGAGGACAAAGTCAGGAGAAGATCCATCCGCACCACTTTGCCTGACAGCTGGCTCGATGAGTTCCATAACTACAGTCTCATTTGGAAACCTGGTAAACCATTAGTGTTTAAACAAGACGAATTGAGATATTACTCTTTGTTTCCTGACTTAAATTTATTATCATGCATTACTTTGGGTTAACTATATTACGCACAGACATTCTAAGATATTAAAAAAAAACTTTTTAATCATAGTTTTCCTCATAGAATATGAGACGACAATATTGTCAATATTACTCTCAGTATATAAAACACTCCCGTGCGTGTTAAATACTCGTATTTTACTAGGTTCGCAACATACCAACAATTTATTGGAGGAAGTTTCTTTGAAAATATCTCTTGATCACGTTATAGAGTCAATAAATACATGTTAAGTATCTTCATAAAGTAAAAGTCGACTCCAAGCTCTATTTCTTCTTACCAGCATGGCTTCTCACCGGGTAGATCTTCTATGACAAATTTGATCAAGTTTTACTCCGACATCATTTCCTCGTTCTCCAATCGCAGGCAGGTTGACACAATATTCCTAGAATTTTCCAGAGCCTTTGACAGTGTCAGCCACCCTTACCTTCTAGCTAAACTGTCGTCTCACGGGATCCACGACCCATTGCTGGTCTGGTTTTCGTCTTAACTCTGTGGCCGAAAACTGATGGTGAAGTTTGCTTCATGTACCCCAAGATCAATCTCTGCTACATCTGGTGCCCCCCAGGGCTTACATCTCAGTCCTGTTCTTTTCAATATCAACGACATCTCCAGAGTCAATCATGTCAAGCACCTCTTGTTCGCTGACGACATCAAGCTGTATTCAGCCATCAAATCTATCGATGACTTCTATGAGCTCCAGGATAGTCTTTCTGCTGTGGAGAGATGGTGTGTCGAGAACTACTGTATGTCTCTGAAAACTTCAAAATGCCTTATCATGACTTTTCACAGGACCTTGGTTCCTGTATTCTACAACTATAGCTTGAATGGGTACAATCTCGACAGAGTCTTTGAGATTAAGGACTTGGGTGTTATGTGCACTGCTTCATTGAGTCCAGAAAAGCACGTAGTGTATGTAAGTACAAAGGCAAATAATAACTTGGGTCTGATAACCCGATATTCACAACACTTTTGTCTCCCTTGGCACTGAAAAGCCTCTATTCTCACCTCGTCATATCCCATTTAGAATACTGCTCAGTAGTGTGGACCCCATACCAACTCTATCTTCAAGAAAGACTCCAGTCAATACAGGTCCGGTTTATCCGCCTGGTAGGTCTTCGCCTTGGATACCACTACGCAGATGTTCCAGTGAGCGTCTTGGCAGCTGTCTTGGATCTACGTACGCTGGTGTATAGAAGGAAAATCATTTATCTGATGTTCCTGCATTGACTGGTCAACGGAGAGATACTCTGCCCGGAGTTGCTTGAGCGGATTGGTTTCCATGTCCCAGCGGGTACCAGATTGAGGGAGCTATTTGCTAGGTGTTTATGAACAGCTTTATGAACGCTTTATGAACAGCACAGTGCCATCGCTCACATAGAAGCTCTGGGAAACTCTCTGCCACCTGAAATTGATCTCTTTAACTGCAGCGCCACATGCTTCAAAATATTGATCAGCTCACTTCCACTGGATTAATTAAGACCTGTCTACTCCAAGACTATACTCTCTCAATCAATTTTTAAATGCTTGTTATGTTCTTTCTTGTTCTCGTTGCTCTTTATTGTTCTCTTTATTCTCATTGTTACTCCATTGTTATTATTTTCGTTATTATTGTTATTGTTATTACTAGTAGCACTTTTTTTTTGTTATTTAGTCATCATTGAAGTTACAAAAGTTGTATTATGATTCTGTTATATAATGGTTTGTCCGTTAAATAAATAAATAAATAAATAATGTCTTTCATGAACAGTGAAAGTTACAGTGAAAGGTAGCCAATGGTAGTGTTATGAAGGGACGTTTTATGGCACTAAGTAATTCATAACAATTACTTTACTCTTTTCAGGAAGCATTTCTTTCAAGGTCGACAATGAGAATGAGAGAGAGCTGGCGTTAGATGGAGGGCATCTCTGTGGGGCTGACGCTGCTGATGCAAACTGTTCCATCTGGAGTAATGGATCAACCATCGCACCTTTCGATAAAGACGTAAATATCTCAGTAAAATGCATAACCTACATAAGTATACAGTACCACAATATATTGCATAAATAATTTTCGATATTGTGGTAATATTTGGCAATTTACTCTTTTCTATACTGTTTCATTTCATTTCATTTCATTTATTTCAACGGTAAACACCATTTATACAATAATAATAAATACATTTATGATACAGGCAATAAATCAGTCTTATGAGTAACAATAATAACAAGCAGAATAGGACTAGAAATTGATAACAAAAAGGATATAACAAACAAGAAATCACAATGTGTAACAAGAAAGGAGATTAAGAATAGAGAGGCAGTGTAAAACAGAGATGATAAAAATGGGAAATAACAACCAACAATAAATAGAAAACAACAACAAAAATTAATAACAGTGAATAAAAATATGAAACATCGATAACCAGCCTAAACAGATAATAAGCAGTAAGAAATTTAAAGTAACAATAGCAGAAACAGGACACTTGTTTAATCTTGTACTTTTTGTGGCCCATTAGTGGCACCACCAAGGTAAATCAACTTTCACATAATCTGGCTCAGCACAGAGCCGACCCGACTTCTGAAGGAGGCAGTTGATCCAGAGAAGAAGTCGATGTGTGTAGCAATTTGACTCCCTAGTAGATGCAATCTGGACAGACCGCTGAGGTAGGCCAAAAGTGTCGGCTGGGAGCGACGCTGGAAGGAGGTTCTGGAACGTGTCCCTCTAGGTACAGCAAGGTCAATATTCGACAATAGATCAGGGCAGTCGATAAGGGAGTTGATGAGTTTAGGTGCAGTGGTAGAGCACTATAATGGCTATGGTAGATGTGTTACTATAGCATACCGTAAATTAATAGAACCAATCTTCTCAAACCGTGTCCTCTCCCATTGCAAACGCAAAGCTTGAGTATAACTGCAATAAGCATTTTATACTTATACGCCAACCCCGTACGAAGGACGGGTACTCTGCTAGTAATCTCTAAATGCTGAGAATCGGCATTGTAAATTGAATGTTTATAGTTAGTAATATAAGAGTTTGAATAGTGTTTAATGAATCCTCCTCACTTTAAAATTACTGTGAAATAGGAAGAATTATGAAAGTAAATTAAAACAAAAATAAAATGGTTAAGCTTTTATTTGGAATTTTTTATGTTAAAACAAATATTCCTCTTGTAGAATTTTTACTGCTTTTAGCGGACCTTGAAATATCAGTGATGGTCGTGGCACTATTTGCTTTATTTTTGAGAATCGAAGTGAACTTTATTTAATTATGTGTATTATGAATGTATATTTCCCCCTATAGAAATATCACAACAGAATGTTTGCTTGCATCTATATATATAAAAGGCAAAGCCCTCACTGACTGACTCACTCACTCACTCACTCACTCATCACTAATTCTCCCTTTTCCCATTTACCTAGGAGGCTGAAATTTGGTACACTGATTCTTTAGGCATTAAATAGGAAAACTAAGTGGTTTTTATTCTGATCGGACTCTCGGGCTCCGCCCCAGTGGCTCTGGAATTTCCCATGTTAATCTTATGAGTACTTATATTTAAATGGAATTAATGAATCTTAACAGCTGTTTCAATTAAACAAGTTGGTTCTGTTCTATGATGTTCAATAGCATAAAAGTTACAAGGATTACCAACAGGGTGCAGCACTATTTTTTTTATTTATGACAACAGCTAATTTCCAACCAAAAGGTGAGTGAGCGTAGCGAACGAACTTTAACCTGGAGGCGTGTTAGCATAGCGAACGAGCTAACCTGGAGGCAAGTGAGCGCAGCGAACGAGCTCCAACCTAAAGGTGAGTGAGCGTAGCGAACGAACTTCAACCAGGACTTGAATAGTAGGCTCTTTAAATTTGTTAATATAGTTCGGCCGCTTAGAAAACGACCTGCGCGCTAATGCTAAACCAATGCTGGAGGAGGTCGCTTTCTAAGCGGCCGAACTATAGTTATGTATTTAAGGCTGTTACAAGTTAGTATTTGTATAGCAACTTTGTGTTTAACTGCGTTGCAGCAATAATGACCACCAATGGTAGGTGTACACTGTACAGGTTCAGGTTACTGTTACAGTTTTACATATCACTTTGACTATCAACTGGAAGTGACCACCAATGGTAGGTGTACACTGTACAGGTTCAGGTTACTGTTACAGTTTTACATATCACTTGGACTATCAGCTGGAAGTGACCACCAATGGTAGGTGTACACTGTACAGGTTCAGCTTACTGTTACAGTTTTACATATCACTTGGACTATCAGCTGGAAGTGACCACCAATGGTAGGTGTACACTGTACAGGTTCAGGTTACTGTTACAGTTTTACATATCACTTGGACTATCAGCTGGAAGTGACCACCAATGGTAGGTGTACACTGTACAGGTTCAGCTTACTGTTACAGTTTTACATATCACTTGGACTATCAGCTGGAAGTGACCACCAATGGTAGGTGTACACTGTACAGGTTCAGGTTACTGTTACAGTTTTACATATCACTTGGACTATCAGCTGGAAGTGAACGGGATTTTGCGGATGATTGCGTCAATCGAGGACAGCCCAAGCCTTGGAGGAATTTGGATTTCAAGGTAATATTTTAACATTGTAACGTCTACACGTCATTTTCAGCTTTTTTTACTGACTTTAATTTTTATACTGAAGTATTTTTGGTACAAATATTCAATTTCAAAAGCTTAATCCCAACGAGCATTAATACATGCACGGGTTAAAAGTAGAAGTACCAGCTGTTAATTCGTGATATTGAAATGTCTACTTACCAACGAAATCTAAACCAATAACAAGACTCCTCGATATATACTGTATGTTTCAACTACAGATTAATAGCAAATGTATTGTCCTCAATGTTGTCAATGCTTACCAATAAGAATAAAATGCAATGCATTTGATTACCCATAGTATATTCATAGTTTACCTACATCAGGTAATATTTTCTTATTTTTTACAATAAATTAGTCTAAATTTGAAATGTATGTAAATAGCTCTGGTTTGCATTTACCTAATATCTTTCCTTAAATACCACTGGTTGTTCCAAAAACTAATCGTACGAAAACCAAATATGTTGTTTGTTTAGGCCAAGAGCGATTTCTGGGACGACCGTGACAACTGGCGACTGACGTGGTCGGAGGCTGGGTCAGCTCTGTACATAGATCATATCCGGGTTACTGCACTCTGACGTGATGGAGTTTCTACTCATTATATGGGAAATTGTTTGACGATATTACTAAAGACCGTTATTATTTACAGCTTCAGTGTATTTCTTTATGTATGTACCCTAGTTTGAATTATGTGTATTTAGAATGTTACCTTCTATTATTTATTTATTCAATCAACAGTCAACACCATTTCATTAAATGATCACATAAAAATAGTATAACATAATGAAATTGGATAACAAAGATACATTGATAACTATAACAATAATAAGACAACAAGCAAAAAAAATCAACGCAAATCTAATAACTTGATAGACTAATCCTATCCTATAATCTAAAAAAAGCAAACTACGAGCAAACATTTTTTCTGTCCGAGGATTTTAGATTTTTTCTATAATATGGGGTACTTTTTCCACGAGAAATCGATTGGAGTTGCTCACAAGTGCTATCCCATTTATCTGCTACAGCAGAATATGCAGAAATCCGCCTGTTAAACGAGGAAAACTGGCTGAGAACAGTTTCTATTATAAATGTGATAAGTAAATTTAATTTTGTCTTAACTGGCTAAACCCACAGAGACGTCAGTCGTGGGTTATGGTCAGGGTCAACATCAAGTTATCGCAGCAGCTGGTAGCCCAATCAACTGGTCGGTTTGAGAGCCAGTCTGTTGGAAGTCGGCAGAGGTCACTACAGTTCTCTGTATGCTGGGGAAACCAATGTTCGCCAAGTAAATAACGCAAGGACAGTGTTACGAAGCTATAATCGGTCTTTTACCCGGCATGATAATTGACAAAGTCAATGATACTTACAGTTTTGGTCCCTTTGAGTGACGTTTATGACATCTAAAATCTGTGTAAATTGTCTGCTGTGTTAGTTATGACACGAGGAAACGTATGTGCTATTATTTCCTTGATTGTGTGTCTTTCATCAAGAACCCAAGTGGTAAGTGATGAATTCATATATTTATAGTAAATGGCGACTTTTTTACACTATACAATCAGATTGTTGATAGTTAATGTTTTGTTGTGGCAACAGTTCTGATTTTCCTTTGCTAGTTATTTTCATTCATCGAGCTTCTGCTTCTGGTTTGTAAGGGTTAAGTGGGAATATTTGATATACCCTTAAAATTCACAGTGTTGTTTGTAGTTGTGTTTACAAACCATAATATTTGATTTGATGTTTTTTTTTTCTATCACGTCCTTTTACAACGCTGTGTTAATAATTATATAACCTAATAACGTTTCTGCTTATTCCACTCACCATTGAGACTATATTAATTCGAAAAAACTTTCTACATAACGGTTTAGACTTTAATTTAAATGTAGATAGCCAATCCTGCAGTTTAAACTTTTAATTACAGACCTATTGTAAGCCAGAGAAAAAACCGTTTAATGTATTTATAAATAAATAGGCTACTTTTTTATACATGAAACCTGATTGAGGCTTTTTAGTGTAGATGTAAAGTCAAGAAATTACATAAATTGTAATTTAGTTGTTTTATTTACAACAAAAATATACAAACACAACAAACATTTAAAACAAAATTTTGCACAAGTAAAATGGTAATTGCGTTATTCGTTTTGTTTTGTAAATATGTTTTGAACCCTATTAAACGGGTCCCTTCGTTGTCTATAATTCTACATACAGCTTATAATCCATTCACTATGTCTTTTTTAGGCTTCTAAAACATATGTATTTTCAGTTGAAGGCGATTCAAACAATCGTCCTCCTCAGTCTGAGAATGGAAGATTAACGTCAGCGGTCATTTATGTTCGGAGAACTGTCAGGTAATAAACCATGCAATAAAGTTTTCTTGGTCATAATTTAAAAAAAATACTAGTGTACCTGTTGCTCGAATTCGAGCAATTGCAATATATTACAGGCGTTATTTTAAAACGAATAACGGTCATAATTTACGATGACTTTAAAAGAGTCGATTCGATGATTACGAAAATATTCACGATGTACATAACAGTTCGATATAATCAACATTTCTTATAAATATTATCATTTTTCAAAAGCTGATCTTGTTTTTTAGTGTTTTCTACAAATTTTTCCCACTCATAGCCGCATTAGGTTGTTTAAAAGAGAAATTATAAATTCTAAAAAAAAAAACATTATCACCATTTCTTCTACTTGGTAGTAAATATAGTATTTAAATATTTAATTTCAACCAAGTGAGGAAATGTTTGTAGCATAAGTTTCCTTAAATAGCAACTAAAATACTGGTGTACGAACCCTGACCAGTTACAGAACAGCCACTACTCCCTCAACAGACACAAATGCCGTACTGGAGATACAACCTTAGCTTGTCAGATGATACCTGGAGCCTACGTTCCTACAGACTGAGACATCTACTGTAACTGTATGTACTGACTGTTGTGTATATCAGGCAGGTACAAGGAGGCTGGTGTACGAACCCTGACCAGTTACAGAACAGCCACTACACCCCCAGCAGAAACAGATGCCGTACTGGAGATACAACCCCGGCTTGTCAGATGATACCTGGAGCCTACGTTCCTACAGACGTAGTCATCTACTGTAACTGTATGTTCTGACTGTTGTGTATATCAGGCAGGTACAAGGAGGCTGGTGTACGAACCCTGACCAGTTACAGAACAGCCACTACTCCCTCAACAGACACAAATGCCGTACTGGAGATACAACCTTAGCTTGTCAGATGATACCTGGAGCCTACGTTCCTACAGACTGAGACATCTACTGTAACTGTATGTACTGACTGTTGTGTATATCAGGCAGGTACAAGGAGGCTGGTGTACGAACCCTGACCAGTTACAGAACAGCCACTACACCCCCAGCAGAAACAGATGCCGTACTGGAGATACAACCCCGGCTTGTCAGATGATACCTGGAGCCTACGTTCCTACAGACGTAGTCATCTACTGTAACTGTTTGTTCTGATTGTTGTGTATATCAGGCAGGTACAAGGAGGCTGGTGTACGATCCCTGACCAGTTACAGAACGGCCACTACACCCCCAGCAGAAACAGATGCCGTACTGGAGATACAACCCCGGCTTGTCAGATGATACCTGGAGCCTACGTTCCTACAGACGTAGTCATCTACTGTAACTGTATGTACTGACTGTTGTGTATATCAGGCAGGTACAAGGAGGCTGGTGTACCATCCCTGACCAGTTACAGAACGGCCGCTACTCCCCCAGCAGTAAGAGATGCCGTACTGGAGATACAACCCCGGCTTGTCAGATGATACCTGGAGCCTACGTTCCTACAGACTGAGTCATCTACTGTAACCGTATGTACTGACTGTTGTGTATATCAGGCAGGTACAAGGAGGCTGGTGTACGATCCCTGACCAGTTACAGAACGGCCGCTACTCCCCCAGCAGTAAGAGATGCCGTACTGGAGATACAACCCCGGCTTGTGAGATGATACCTGGAGCCTACGTTCCTACAGACTGAGTCATCTACTGTAACCGTATGTACTGACTGTTGTGTATATCAGGCAGGTACAAGGAGGCTGGTGTACGATCCCTGACCAGTTACAGAACGGACGCTACTCCCCCAGCAGTAAGAGGTGCCGTACTGGAGATACAACCCCGGCTTGTCAGATGATACCTGGAGCCTACGTTCCTACAATCTGAGTCATCTACTGTAACCGTATGTACTGACTGTTGTGTATATCAGGCAGGTACAAGGAGGTTGGTGTACGAGCCCTGACCAGTTACAGAACGGACGCTACTCCCCCAACAGTAAGAGATGCCGTACTGGAGATACAACCCCGGCTTGTCAGATGATACCTGGAGCCTACGTTCCTACAAACTGAGCCATCTACTGTAACCGTATGTACTGACTGTTGTGTATATCAGGCAGGTACAAGGAGGTTGGTGTACGAGCCCTGACCAGTTACAGAACGGACGTTACTCCCCCAGCAGTAAGAGATGCCGTACTGGAGATACAACCCCGGCTTGTCAGATGATACCTGGAGCCTACGTTCTTATATACTGAGTCATCTACTGTAACTGTATGTACTGACTGTTGTGTATATCAGGCAGGTACAAGGAGGCTGGTGTACGATCCCTGACCAGTTACAGAACGGCCGCTACTCCCCCAGCACAAAGAGATGCCGTACTGGAGATACAACCCCGGCTTGTCAGATGATACCTGGAGCCTACGTTCCTACAGACTGAGCCATCTACTGTAACTGTATGTACTGACTGTTGTGTATATCAGGCAGGTACAAGGAGGCTGGTGTACGATCCCTGACCAGTTACAGAACGGCCGCTACTCCCCCAGCAGTAAGAGATGCCGTACTGGAGATACAACCCCGGCTTGTCAGATGATACCTGGAGCCTACGTTCTTATATACTGAGTCATCTACTGTAACTGTATGTACTGACTGTTGTGTATATCAGGCAGGTACAAGGAGGCTGGTGTACGAGCCCTGACCAGTTACAGAACGGACGTTACTCCCCCAGCAGTAAGAGATGCCGTACTGGAGATACAACCCCGGCTTGTCAGATGATACCTGGAGCCTACGTTCTTATATACTGAGTCATCTACTGTAACTGTATGTTCTGACTGTTGTGTATATCAGGCAGCCACAAGGAGGCTGGTGTACGATCCCTGACCAGTTACAGAACGGCTGCTACTCCCCCAGCAGTAAGAGATGCCGTACTGGAGATACAACCCCGGCTTGTCAGATGATACCTGGAGCCTACGTTCCTACAGACTGAGTCATCTACTGTAACCGTATGTACTGACTGTTGTGTATATCAGGCAGGTACAAGGAGGCTGGTGTACGATCCCTGACCAGTTAAAGAACGGCCGCTACTCCCCCAGCAGAAACAGATGCCGTACTGGAGATACAACCCCGGCTTGTCAGATGATACCTGGAGCCTACGTTCCTCCAAACTGGGTAATCTACTTTAGCTGTAACCCTGGCTACAAGCTAAATACAACCAAGATCGTTGCTGTTTGTTTTAACGGTAATTGGATCCCAGGGCTGGCCCAATGTGAAAGTGAGTATTAGAGGCTGATTTTAAGTTGAGCTTTCACAATAATTGTAAAAGCTCGTTTTAATATTATATTTACAGTAACATATTCCTATA